CCTTTCTTTGGGATAGGAACAAATATCGATCTCTTCCAGTCAGTTGGCCAAGTGGTCGTTCTCCATATTTCTTGGCACAACTTGATGAGCACGTCCAGGGCAGCATCTGTTAACTGAAATATGTCAATTGGTATACCATCTATTCCTGGAGCCTTATTTGTTGCCATGTCCTTCAAAGCAGGCTCAACTTCTTCTTTCATCACCATAGTCTCTTGCTCATATGTTGTTTCATGAAATTCTTCTGTATCTTCCATTTCCTTTCGATACGGTGACTCAGTATATTCCTTCCATATTCTTTTGTAAACACTATGAACAATAGAAGAGGTTGCTGATATGTTATACAAAGCTAATTGTTATCAGTCAGTGTTGATTTTTACATGTCAATATAGCAAGCACCACCTAGAGAAGGCTATGTCAGACCTTTACCAACTTCACAAAAGGAAATTTTCCTAGCAATACAATACATGGAAGCTGTTCCCAAGGGTGTTTGCACTCAAACCCTTACACTAGCCCAAACTACCTCCTCCTTGCCCCAACATGGCAACTCAGAGTGAGACCTCACATGGGGAAACACTAAGGAGAGGGCACAGGTGTGAGCAGATAGTTTGTGATTGGAATGTGAAATGTGTGAACGTTGGAAAATTGGATACTGTTAAGAAAAATTGGAACAGAAAAATATTGACAAGACTAGGTATCAGCAAAATGGAGTGCCTTAGCATGGGACGTGAATCAGCTGTGAAAACTAGCACAGGTGCTGGTTGTGTTAGAGACCACCAACGACTCCTGTGCAAGTTCAGGCTCAAGTAGAAGACATTGTAATCCAATCCATAGGAACCAACATTTGATCTTGATTCTCTGTCTCTTTAGTTTCAAAACCATCTCAGGAACATGTTTGCGGCCTTGGACTCCAAAAGGATGGAGGAGATGAGCTGTGGGAGGTTATCATGAACATCATGCATGATGAATGCAGAAGGTCTCATTATAAAGGGAAAGGAGGAAGAAAAGACCAAGAAGAATGACAAAGGAACTCTGAATATTGCCCTGGAGCACCTAGAAGCCAAACAAAGAGAAGAAATGAAGATATCAAGGAGCTAAACAGAACATTTCAAAGGGCATCACAGGAAGACAAAGGAAAGTATCATGAAATATGCAAAGAGTTGGAGTCAGAAAATTAAAAGGGCTGAACTCACTCAGCATTTCTTAAACTGAAGACCTGAAGAACAAATTCAGTCCTCGATTTGCAATACCTAAGAATGCTTTGGGCGAAATATGAAATGACTCAGGAAGCATTAAAAGAAGATGGAAGGAGTATACAGAGTCACTCTACCAAAAGGAATTTTCTGATACGGAAGAATTTCATGGTCAAGAGCCTGTGGTGATGAACAAAGAAATTCACCCTGCTCAGAAGAAATTTGCAAAACAATAACACCCTACACATGATGTGCTCACCAAGTTGTGCCAAGAAATCTGGAGATCAACCACCTGGCCAACTGACTGGACTAAATCTATATTTGTTCCCATTGATAAGAATGGTAGTGCAAAAGAGTGGAAATTATTGCCCAATATGAGTAATGTAAGCAAGATTCAGCTGAAAATGTTCCCTAAATGACTAGAACGGTACCTTTCCAGAGAACTGCCAGATGTGCAGGCTGAGTTTCAAAGAGGCCGTGATACTAGAGATAGCTAATGTTAGATGGTCTTGGCTGAAAGCAGAGAGTACCAGAGGAATGTTTACATAGATGTTATAGACTACGCAAAGGCCTTTGACTGTGTGGCTCACAACAAAGTGTGGCTAACTCTGAGAAGAATGAGAATCCCAGAATATTTGATTTTGCTTATGTGAAATCTATACTTGGACCAGGAGGGAGTCGTCGGAACAGAGGAAGGAAATACTTGCATAATTCAAAATTGGGAAGGTTGTACACCAGGCATGTATTCTGTCTCCATGCCTTTTCAATCTCCAGAGCCCAGCCTCCTGGATGATGTGTTCTGCATAAAGGTTGAAAAGGTATGGAGACAGCACACATCGCTGGCATAAGCCCTTCCCAGTTTTGGACCATGCAGTGTTTCCTTGCTCTGTTCTGACTACTTCCTCTTGGTCCAAGTATAGGTTTCTCATTAGCACGATCAAGTGTTCTGGGATTCCCATTCTTCTCAGAGCCAGCCACAGTTTGTTATGGTCCATACAGTCAAACGCCTTTGCATAATCAATGAAACACAGATAGACATTCTTCTGGTATTCCCTGCTTTCAGCTCAGATCCATCTAACATCAGCTACAATATCCCTAGTCCCAGGGGCCCTTTTAAACGCAGCTGGACGTCTGGCAGTTCTCTGGTGGTGTGTTGCTCTATGCGTTTTTGGATAATCTTCAGCTAAAAGGGAGAATATTGTATAAAACCATTCTTGTATAATGAGGTTGAGGATCAGATGGTGGGAGGATGGAAGTAGAGGGTGAGTATGTCCTCTCGTGGGGAGAGTAATTATGGGGTGGCAATATTTCAATTTGGAAGGAACTTGTGAAAAACAATGTATACGAATTTTGTAAATAAACTAGTATAATAAATGAAATATTTTAAGATATGTTATATATATACATAGTCAAGTGAATGTAAATTGCCCCCCAAAAAAGACCGACACAAAAGACCCTACTGAACAGTCATCGATGGCTTCGTTCAGCCTCAAGCTTGAGAAAAAATAAACCCCACAGTAGTTAACAGTTTAGTGTAGGAACCGAAATGCCGGGCAAGGACTTTGGCAGGTGTTGTTCCCCCACGAACCATTTATTGTTCGGGACCTAGAAACCGGAAGTGTGCCACCCCACCACGTGGTACAGATTAAAGG